TCCACAACTGATAAGGATGAACTATATCTTAACTTGGTTCTTGAGTATGTACCTGAAACTGTTCACCGTGTTATCAAACACTACAATAAGCTGAACCAAAGGATGCCGTTGATACTTGTGAAGCTTTATACATATCAGGTAGTATGCTCTTTTTTAAAGTGAGTTGTCAATTATATTGCTCCGCTTTGATATGAACTCCCAATTTATGAGACCTCTGCAAATTCTGTTGTACACGTGATTTTTTTCCTTCATTTTCATATATGTGAGATGTTGGACAAGAGATTGTTGCTAAAATTGTTCCCATATTTTTCTAGTTCTTTTGTTTGTTTTGAAGATGGGCTAACCTTGGGAATTCCATCAAACTGTGTTTTTTATTATGAGAAACTAGTTTCACTTCAATTACCTTGTATTAATGCACTTTAATAGCTAATGATTTTCTTGAGGTTGTTCTATTATGTAACATGCCTGAAGTACAATATGCTGTTTCTGTCTGGCAGATTTTCAGGGCATTGTCTTACATACACCGCACTATTGGAGTATGCCACAGGGACATCAAACCTCAGAATCTTTTGGTATACTTATCTACTCCACTGCCTTCACTGTTTATTTCCTTTTAGCTTTTGGTTAAAAAAATATTGTTGCCACCTTGCCGGTCACTCTTTGGCTTTATTTTCATTATAATAGATATTAATGTGAATATCTGCTCCAAATGTATGGAAAAAATTTACCAAATATATGTATTAAGTTTGTCAGTGATTTGATGTATGGAGAAGAATAATGCAATTTGGTTGATTACTTCAATGAGAGAAAAAAATCTTTCCTCATGTGCTCATTACTCTTCTTATAATGTTGTCAATAATCATGCATTTTGTAAATGCTTTAAGCTACTGATCCCCTCAGAGAAATAAAAGGATGTAACTAGATAGATGTACTGCATGTAATGAGAGATAGGAATGTAACTTTGCACCCACCATGAGCTCATTTTTCCGTGTCTTATTTTGTCTGTGGACATTGTGCTGTGAAAATATGTTTTGCTGCGCTGATATGAGCTTTCATCACGCTTGGGTTGACATCTTTTCTTCCAATTGGGTTATGGATTCTAATTTCTATTACAAAGATAGTTATACGAGAGACTGATATTGACATATTTGGTGAACTTGCTATGGCCTTAACCTAGACAGGCAATTTATTCTGCTTTGCTGATATATAGTTCAAAAAAAAATTAATCAACTTGCTAGCAATTGTCTTTATAATATCTCTTTATTGGCTCCTGAAGGGACTGGAACCTACAGAATATTAGAAAGTAATGATGAAAGAGGAAGTACTTGATGTGACCCAAAATGTAAAAGGAGAACCGATGTCTTTGGAATTTTTGTGTAACACAGTGATGCAAATTTTCTTCCCAATTTGAAAGAAAGGGTTTTATTTATTTTGCTTGACTCTCATGGCTTATGACTGTTGAACGTGTTAGCAAGTGCTATTAAGGACTATTTGTTCTTTCCATTTGCATTTCACATTTCTTTCTGGATACTAAAAATCCACGGCATGATACTTTTTTTGGCAGGTGAATCCACATACCCACCAGGTTAAATTATGCGATTTTGGGAGTGCCAAAGTTCTGGTGTGTTTACATTTTTTCTTTGCGTCTTGTCCGTTCTAACATAAGAGTCTATTTGATGCATTTTCTGATTGGATAAATCTGCTCCAATTTTTTGGCAGGTTAAAGGAGAACCAAATATTTCTTACATCTGCTCTAGGTATTATCGAGCACCTGAGCTCATATTTGGTGCAACAGAGTACACTACTGCTATAGATGTTTGGTCTGCTGGCTGTGTCCTAGCTGAGCTACTTCTTGGTCAGGTAGGTTGTTACTTTCTCCTAATATTAGCTTATTCGTGGACAGTATTCCGTATTACATTGACAATTTTCTGTATCTCATTATTTGCTTTCTTCCATTTTCAGCCTTTATTTCCAGGTGAAAGTGGAGTTGATCAGCTTGTTGAGATCATTAAGGTAATCTTGTCTATTTGACTTTCTTGTCTGCAGTTCCTTACCAACTTTATTTCCACCTTTGTGCCTTTTCTGCTGTTCTTGATTTTCTTTCATCATTGCCGCTTTTTGTTTTTTTTTCCTTCTTTTCATTTATTGCATCCAATTGTAATTTTTATAGGCCTTCTTTCCTGCCTTTCTATTTTGGAGTTATTTACTTCTTGACTTGCAATGTTCTGGGGCAACCCTTGTGTGATTTCTGCTTTCTCGGATTTTTTTCTGCAAATGTATCTTATGGGGAGATAATAGCTCTTTTTAGTGGCCGTATTAGCACATTCCTATCATTTTAATCATGTTAGGGATTTTTTTAGCAATAAGATTTCTTCAAGATGTATGTAGTAGGGAAATTAAAAGGAAATTAGAGGAAAAGATAAGAACTAAAGTCAACATACATACAAATTAACTTGGCTTTCAGCTTGAGTATTGCTTCGCTGCTGTTGTGACTGAGTTTTGATATTAAGTGAAGATCCACCTCTTTCAAACTTCCATATCAACCAAGCTTAAGATTTGTGAATCAAATAGACCACAGAGATGGTGAGATAGGCTTTTTCTGACCAATTATACTTTACGTGTGATTCTGACTTGAATAGTCCGTAAATGCCCAATGATTTTGTCTTCTACTCTGGTCTGTTCCGTAAATTTAGGTACTTGATTCCTAAGTTGCTCAGACTCTTCAAAAATGATGTCGGGTGCGTTTCAGATCCTTCAAAAGTAGTGCATTTTTGGAGGATCCGACACGGGTGCGGCAACATATTTGGAAAGTCCGAGCAACTTAGCTTGATTCTGTGCTAAGTTCAGTTTGTCCTACTGTTTTAGATTCTAGATTGTAATTCATGGAAGGAGCTTTGTTTGAATGTTAAGGAATTCGCACTGGCGCAACACATTTTCGTTTTCAGCTTGTGTAGCAGTTTCAGATTCGGAGATTCTGTAACTAAGACGAGTTCACTGTTTTTGATAAAGATATTGAAGTAGAAGTATTGTTTTAGTAATAAGACAGCTTTCTGTATTATTAACATTTCAATTGTTGTCTTAGATAAATATGGCTAAGAAGATACTCAACCTTTTGCTGCATGTCCATGTTACTTAATTTGTTTTCAGTTTGGCCCATGTCTACTTTTCTTTTGTCCAAACTATATCTCCTGCTACATTTTGCAGGTTTTGGGCACTCCTACAAGGGAAGAAATTAAATGTATGAATCCCAACTATAATGAGTTCAAATTTCCTCAAATTAAAGCTCATCCATGGCACAAGGTACTTGAAATACTACTTATCGTAACCAACCCCTTCATAGAACTGGCTAGCATACACAAGGCAACAAGTCATTTCTAATGTTGATTTTCAGATATTCCATAAGCGCATGCCTCCAGAAGCAGTTGATCTGGTCTCAAGACTGCTGCAGTACTCTCCTAACTTGCGCTGCGGTGCTGTAAGTATGCCAAGTTTATTTGTTCGAGCTAATCTCTTTTGCGTATGTATAGTCAGTTAGTCACAGAATATACAGGGGTCACCTTTCTGTATCTCTGTTCAGTGTTTGACTTATTGTGATGTTCTTTTGAAAGTTGAACACGTACCCATTATGTTGTTAAAAAGCATCTAAGTTTTAGCTCAACATAGCATGCCAGTCTTTCTTTTCTTTGTCTTAGGCTTCACCGAATTTCTTGAAGAGCACTGCAGCTGTAGTTTAATTTGTCAATGGTATGATTATTTCTGTCTAGTTCCAAGTTGTGAGAGGTGTACTAATTTTGAATGCAGTTGGATGCCTTGGTTCACCCCTTTTTTGACGAGCTTCGTGATCCCAATACACGCCTGCCTAATGGACGCTTTCTTCCTCCCTTGTTTAACTTCAAGGCTCATGGTATGTTGTTGACAAGACTTCTTTCAGATTAGCTTCTTTCCATAAGTTACAACTGAATCTATTGAATCTGGCTTTCTTGTCACCAGAGTTGAAGAATGTGCATGCAGAGATATTATTGAAGTTGGTTCCGGAGCACGCCAGAAAACAGTGCCCTTCCCTTGGGTTATGAGTTCCTGCCTTGTGATAGAAATAATTTAAGTGTACCCGTTGAAGCTGTGTTTCTTCTCTGTATCAATTTGTTCCTTCTTTCCCTTATCTTACCATGTATCTGTTGTCCCTTTGTATTATTATTATTATTATATCTTGTTTTGTAAAAGCAGATGTAGGGAATTGACCTTTAACAAATACCCGATCTTCAACCTGTGTTCCTTTTACCCTGTTCCGATATGTCCTATGCTTGTAACATTATGTGGTTGAGAATTAACAATTTGAGTGAACTTTATTATTATGGGATTTCAAAGTAATGATAGGGTGACTGTTGATATGGCTCTTTATCGCTTGTGATATTGGCTCCTGAGACACTTGGTATTTAAACAATTTACTGGCCTTTGGTTAGCGAGACAATTTTCAAAACAGCCTGCTGACTATTTAACTTTAATACATTAACCTGGTATGTAGATGAGTTTTCTACATCTTTAAGCGGATCATTGTAAAATTTGTACTGTTGGTTTTTCCCTGTTCATTTGTAGAAATTGTTTCTGCTATGAATTGAACCTGCCTAGTTTAATCTCATTATAATGAGGTCAAGCAAAATGGGGGCCAGACATTTGTAGTTAACAAAATGCACTTTGAACCAGGAAGAATACAAGCAGTGTTACATTACTCTTTTGCGATGGATTTGTAAAAGAGAGAAGTCTTTCCACGTTTACCACACATGATAAATTCACGGGACTTTTTAATTTTTTCTCTCTTAACATTTAGCAAAGAGTAAAACTTTGAAAAGGAAAAACCATATACTACAATTCTCATTTAGCTGGTCATGAGATTATGCTACAAATTACTTGTAAAAGTTTCTTTCTCATTTATTCAAGGGAGTATAAGTTATGTTCACCAATTTATTCGAGATAAAAAACCGGAAAAAAGGAAACTAAACCGATCTAGAAACAAACGTATAAAAGCTATTAGGCATTGGGAATTTTGTTTTAGAATAAAATGCCGTTGGGTAAATACTACTGCGATTACTGCGACAAGGAATTCCAGGATACTGCAGCTGCTCGGAGGCGTCATCTTCAAGGTGTTCAACATCAAAGAGCCAAAGCTCTTTGGTACGACTCCTTGCGCAGTAAGTTTCTCCTTTTTCTTCTTAGTTAATTAATTTCTAAGTGTTGATGAAGGATTTTTCTGGGATAACAGATCCCCAGTTATTCAACGATCCGGACTCGTTCGGTAAAGGAGTATGCAATCACTTTGTTCGAACGGTACTGCTCTTATCTTCGTATTTTAGTATGCAAAATTTTGAGATACGGAGTCAGAAGTTGTCTTATCCTGTTTGACACTTTTGGGTTGTCCATGTTACTGCAATGCTCAATTTGCGTGATGGAGGAAGAAACAAAAGTGACAGATGAATCAGATTGTTGCATTTCATCAATCAATCAATTGACAGATGAGTTCAATTGATGCATTTCATAATTACCATTTAAAAAAGAGAGATTGTTGCAATCTAAGATACTTTGAAATATAATTTGAGGTTTCTAGGCCTTTTACTTTAATCTATTAGGTTTTGTAAGGCCTATTAGCTTCTCAGAATACTGCCAAGTTGTTTCTGGAGCTTTGGCCTTTGAGTATTGTACTCTCTACCACAGAAGCACCTTTGGTAACTCGAAGAATAATTTACTATAGAAGGCCAAGTAACATGATGATTAGATTTCCCCTTAATGTGTTGATGATATAATTATGTCTCCAACTTGATGAGCGTGGTATGATTTGTTGTAGGTGAGTTTCATAATCTGCTACTTAGCTTAATTTGTAATTTTAGCAGATTCACATTGTTCTGGTTGAAAAAACTAAGTAGTAATATGCTGATAAGTGATAAACATTACTGATAGTACTTCTATTCACTAAGTTATGAACATACGTGAATGTTGCTTTACTTCATCCACCTGAAGTTATTGCCCAAGGTCAGATGGTACTTCTTGTTGACTTCAATGTGACACAAAATGTTGAAGGAGTAACAACAATGGATTGGGGATGGTGAAGTCTAAACTCTAAAGAAATTCTCTGTGTTTGACACCCTTTATTGGATAATGTTGTTGATCATATCTTTTACATGTATCAAAGGGGTATTGCCAGTATGGGGACTCCTGCAAATATTATCATCCCAAGCAAAACTCTCAAACTGTGAACCAAACAGGACTCCCTCCAGGTATCTTTCTCGTATGTTTTGTGTATATTCTTCATATTCAATATTACTGTTAACTAACTAATGTCTTAAATCTAGAACTATATTAGCCACCATGATAACTATTTAAATTTATTGGCCTCAAAAAGTATTTTTGTTTCTTATTTTTGAGAGACACACATCTGTTTGTCTGCCAAGACTAGTTTGCTGGAAGATGAGGTGGCTCTGCAAAGAAAAATTATTTGTTTTTTGTTTATCGGGGGATTGAATCATTGTAGACTGCTGCTGCTAGGTGAATCAAAAAGTGGGACCATTACAATGCAAGTTGCGAGTAACTATAAACAAAGGACAAATAACTAGTTACTAGTTTAGGAAGTAACTATCCAGTTCCTAGGGAATTTTGTACCCTAGACTAATTGGGGCGTCAACCTGGACAACGCAAACTTTTACCGTAACTGTCGCTGTTATATACTTATCAATAACCAGCTTTATCACGATGAACTAGATATTTTGGGCTTGTCGCTTGAAAGAGTACTGCAGTTCACGTTTAACTTTTTTCTTTCTTTTTTCCTTGAAGAATGAAAAGTGCTTTTAACCTATGCAATTTCTGTTGATGATTCTAAAAAATAAATTGATGGACATTTTTGGTTCATTCAACAATTGATGATGTGAAGAAATCAGAAGGGTCTGTCTAAGCAAGTTTGTCCAGAAAGTGCTCTGGGTTCGAATTACAGTTGTGGATCACTATATCCTGAAACACTCTTAATGGTTTTTGGGTTTTCTTTCTGGAAGGGAATTGGAAAACTGGTATAGTGAGTCAATTTCAAAATTTATGTTGTTTGCTGTTTTGTGAAATGGTTGTCCTTGCCACTCATCCAAAAGATGTCCTGGTTTTTGTCAGATGTTAATAAAATCTCAAAGGGACATCTTAGGAAAGTAATCTAACTTTTGGGAAGTCAGAGATTTAAGAAGACTGGGGAATCAATCTTTTGAATTTCTTGGATTTGGCAATGTGCAGAATTCACTTGTGCAAATAGTATTCTGTGCTTTTTTTAAAAAAAAAAATTGTTAATAGTATTGTGTGCATTTTGTCAAACGAACTTATCTAGTTATGCTACAACTTCTTCATTCAAGATTTCAAAATTTATGTACCAACTCTTTTGAAGTTCTTTGTCCTGTAATTTTAAGTTTTCATTCCTAGTAGTTATTCTAAAAGATTTGATTGACCTGAATTAGTCTTTTAAGTTGTGGAGTACTAATTCTTGATATGGATATACACTTGAATTGGGAGTATACTTGATTGTAAAATCATATCCTATGAATTTGAATAGCTATGGAAGAACACAGTGCATGCAACTTTTGATTCCCTTTTGTTTATCCAATTCTCAGGGGAAAATAGTAGAGAGGGTTTTCACTCAAGTAGTCAACCTTTTGGTTCGGCCTCTTTTCCAGGCAAGCATTGCTTTTGCATCTATTTTCTTCCTATTTTCACTTAAAATGTCAGGTGTTGTGTTTTTTCCAATTCCCCATTTAATCTGCTGATGCTCTTGGTGGTTTTTCTTCTTCTAAATTTAATCGTGATGTTCTTGGTTGTAGCAGGTGATGTGTTCAGAGAAAAGGCCGGAGCATCACTGGGCAATCTGCCTCCCTCTCTAAGGCCTCCGCCTGAGGGTGGTTATCCACCTCTCCCATTTGTTGAGTGGGGATAGGTCTGCCACCTCATTTACTACTCTTGTCAGATATGCTTTAGAGTATGTTGACTGAAGATGTAGATTGCCCAAAATATAAATACTATATTGACTATGGAAGAAATAGATGTCTACAAGTTCAGTTGAGTGATGTGCAGTTAGAAACAGGAAATCAAAAGTTAATGTTGGTTTTAATTTAATTATAACCTGATTATCCTTTTATCATTTGGACTTCACCAATCTGTTATTTAGATTGGAAATTTTAGTGTGGTGGCAGGAATAACTTTACACGTTCCCTTTTTTCCCCCAATGACCCCTTTAAGTCCTATTAATGTTGATTTCGGATGGTTATAGTGGTTGGACCTGTAAGTATCTACCTTTGGTGCAAGATGTGGATTACTAGTTTTACTGCTTGACTGTGGTCTTGGTGGCTATCATTTGTAGGTTACAAATTAGATGAGTTTGAGCAGTAGGTTTGGAGCTTACAAATTGTTAAAGTTAATGAATAGATCAGGTGAGATGCTCTGCCTTAATTTTGTAAAGAAGGTGAGTCGGTCCTACTAGGTTAAGACTGATTTATTTGTGCATTGTGAATTGTGATTAAGCCTAAGATGTTTTCATATGTATATTTTTTATTTAATAAAATTGGGTCGTTGGTAGCTTAGTTGGACGTGTATACTGTTGATACAATTACATAGAAGTATCTATCATTTCAAAGAGGTGATCTACCTTGGTCTGAGACACTTGTGGATCAATTCTGAAGCTTGTGTGTGAGATATGCAACCAATATTTCTATAATGTTATTTTTACATTCAGTGCTGTGTTCATCTCCTAATTCTCAGAGTATATTACTATTCTACACATGGCATGTTGACTTGTGCTTCAGTGTGACAAAGAAGAGTGAAAGAAAAATATGGATATTGGAGACAAGGTAAAAGTATGTTGGTACTTATCCTTCCATGGTTCAAAGCTCCCACTTTTGCCAGTATGTCCCACACATAGGAGCTATCTTGCAGGTATGGGCATCGAGTCTGATCCACACCCAGTTGTGTTATAGGAAAAAAACCTGGTTGAGGTCATTGCATTCATCACTTAGAACTGTTGTCAGATAGGTCAACTACTACTCCAGAAGCTGACACCCAAAATGAAGCTATTATAGAAACCAGAAATGCAGCAAGCATTAGTGAAATGACCCTCTTTTTAAAATATGTCATACACAATGAGAATATGATCAGCTAATGCCTAAGTAGTTTAGTAACACTCCTGCTGAACTGATTCCTATACCTCCCAAGTCCCATGTTATTTCCCAATCTTATTTGATGTTTAGTGTTGGAGCTTACGTTAGATGAACTGACGATGTAAAGGTTATTGACAACCAAATTACTTATATAAGACAATTTCAAGTAAATTTCTACAATAAACATTATTTGATTATCTAACATTATTTTGGGGAAACCTGAAAGTATTAAAGATTATATGAAAGTTGAACCATTTTTCCAGTCCCTGGAAATTATGACAAAATAACCAGCTTGATTTTTCAGGCGGTCAATTGTCTTACAAAAGTTACTTTTCTTTAATTTTTGTACTATAACAAAAGAATCACTTAATTGTTATCATTTAACCTAAAAAGTCATTTACTTGTCTAATTTAAATGTTCTCGAGTTGAGGTTTATGTGTTATTTTCTACCAAACTTTATCATCCAATAAAAAAACATTATCTATCTCAATTGTTTCCATATAATAAAGAATATGATATGTACTTATCTCCGCCGCTCCAACAAAGTAAAGCTCCCCATTTTGTAGTACCAAAAATTCAAAGTATGCATAAACATAAGGTAATGGGAGCACAAAATTCCAAAACAATATGTATCAAAGCATGCTCTCTGTAATATATTTGTTTCATTGTAAGCATTCAACTATGCTTTCTTTTGACTTTATAAAGATAAAATTTTACATAATGGGAATTAACAATGAAGCAAAAAAGAGTGGTCCTATGTGGGGTTTGGTTTCTATCTACTCCTAGTGGAACTATATTTTCTTAGACGCCCGAAATTCCTGGTCCTAAAAGATTAAAAAAACTAAAGATTTTCTTTGGGATTTTTACACTACATAGCTAATCAACAAAGTCCCAACAATAATTAACCCAATATTTTCTTTTACAAAGTGTAGTTAAGTATCCAATGTATAATTTGTGTGTATATATTATACACTATACGTGGGCGGGATGCTTGACACATGCAAGTTGGACGAAATGTAGTGGATAGTTGAGTAACACATAAGAACCTCCCCTTTGAACAGGGATAAACAACTGAAAATGACTTCTAATACTCCATAGACTGAGGAGCAAAAGGAGGAATCCACTCGAGTAGGGTCTCGTGCTTGCTTAGATAGTTGGTGAACGCGATAACTACAAACTATTATGATTATGGTAAAATCCGTTAAAGGGGAGATGCTCCCAGACAAGATTTTTTTTATATTCAGAATTCATCCGAAAATCAAGAATGGAAAGATCCTAGTTATTCCACCATAATCATTAGATTGGATGCATGTGAAACCACAATCTAAAACACCTATGGTGCACTCAATATCCCACTTTAAAAGAAAAGATCCCATAGCTTGAGTTAGTGGTTACTTTTGCAAATAGTTACTATAACACCTTAAACCTATATATGCTCTCACTCTATGTGAACTAAATACAAAAACTACCTCCCTAATATGTGCCTCTTAATACATGTAAAAACAAGATTCACTCATGGTGGAGCAAGTTCGAGTTTATCAATAGGTGTATTATCTAAAGATATCACTATGAAAATTTTGATAGATTAATTTTTCTGTAAGTGTAATCAAGCAGACAAAATTGAAATCTACCCACCAATTCAAATGCAATCCTTATATTATAATTATGGCCATTAAAAATAGAGATTTTAACTTTCTATTGTATTATTCCTAACAAAAAAAAAGTAAAAGAAGCATTCTGTTAGACAAGATTTATAACTATACATATTAACCATAATAACATGTTCCATCAGAATTGCCTATTGGGCAGTCTCACTAGTTTTGGGACCAAAGTAAGTGGCACGTAATGGGATGAAAACGTGGGGTTCTTTTGAATTTCACTATTATGATTATCTCATACCCACCCCAACACTGGCTCTCGTTTCTTGATCAAATTTAATTTTTATATACTGACAGTAACTATATAAAAAAAATATAATATAATAACATGTCTTATTTTTAAAGTTTGTAATCCCTCTTGATAGTGTAGAGCTTTTTTATACTATAAACGTATGGAAGTTAAATTCTTATGGACACCCTCCGATCCATTTATCGTGAACCAGAAAAACCATTGTGTAAATGGAATAGGGCGGTTTTGATATGATTAAATTAATGCCGATCATGCAAAAGAACCATTCTTCCACTAAGAAGCACTTACTATAAAATGGAATATTTCACTTTGAGAACTTGTAAGTAACATAGTTGAACTACTTGCATAGTCTTTCAACTTGTTTACAAGTGCTTGCTTTTTAGTTGGTGGTCACATAAACAACTTCATTTGTTGTTGTTTTTTTGACTTCCAAGAACGTGGTGCCTTGCCTTATATCCTTCTAACTTCTGAAAAACCTACTGATAATGACAAGAATAAGCATGATCTTTTTAGTCTAGTGAAAATTGACATTTTATTTTTCTATATAGGATTAGTGAGGGGTCTAGTAAAACAAGTAGCCAAATTGTGTTACTTCACTTCCCTTTAAGTTCTATAAATACTCTGTTTTAGTTAACAAGCTATACTAGCTGGACACAAATTATGGAATTCACTAGATTTTGCTTCTTGGTTTTTTCTGTTTTCTTGATTTACAATGTTTGTTCAGTTCATGGTAGGTTCTATGATTATCCCAAAGTGTCGCGTTTTCGTGCATTGTCACAAATATCAATGCCACCTTCCCCTGCTCCTGCTCCTGCTCCTGCTCCTGCTCCTGCTCCTGCTCCTGCCCCTTCCCCTGCACCTAAGGATGATCCAACAATTGACAATGTGAAGAATTCATCAAATGATTATGCAGCAGGCATTTTCAATGTGTTGTCTTATGGGGCTGTTGGTGATGGTGTGATCGACGATACACAAGCATTTAAGATGGCTTGGGATGCTGCTTGTCAAGTTGATTCAGCTATTCTACTAGTTCCAAAACACTATTCCTTTATGATCCAATCCACAATCTTCACTGGTCCTTGCAAAAGTGGGCTAATTTTCAAGGTAATGTGACAAACTATTTCAATTTTTTCATGTACTTGAAACGTTGTTCGATAATTGTGTGAGGTGACTAATTATGATTGATGGTGTAGGTTGAAGGAACCATTATGCCACCAGATGGACCTGATTCATGGCCAAAAAGTGTCAGTAAGAAACAATGGTTAGTCTTTTACAGAATTGATGGGATGTCAATGAAAGGTGGTGGACTCATAGATGGTAAAGGAGAAAAATGGTGGAATCTTCCTTGCAAACCACATAAAGTAATTTTCTTGATCCACTCGTAAAGTTGTTGTCATGTGACCAGGAGGTCACAGGTTCTACAGCCTCTTGCAGAAATGCAGGGTAAGGTTGCGTACAATAGACCCTTGTGGGTGGTCCAGCCCTTCCCTGAACCCCGCACATAGCGAGAGCTTTAGTGCACCGAACTGCCCTTTTTTATTTTACAAATTCGATTTAGGATCTTGAGTTTTGTGTATAATGTAAAACACTTCAATGCAGCAGGGAATAAATGGAACAACTCTACCTGGTCCTTGTGACAGCCCTGTGGTAAGTTCAAACACACATTGTTTTGTTTCTTTAGACCAAAAGACCATAAATCTAAAGTATGTTCAATTTTACAGGCTATAAGGTTCTTCATGAGCTCAAATTTGACAGTGCAAGGGCTTAAAATCAAGAACAGCCCACTGTTCCATTTCAGATTTGACAGTTGCCGCGATGTCCATGTTGACTCACTTTACATAAAAGCACCACCTCAGAGCCCCAATACTGATGGAATTCACATAGAGAATACCAATGATGTCACAATAAGAAACTCAATAATCTCCAATGGTAAAATCTTAAGTTCTTGGAAAGTAAGTTATAGAGGGTTCTTCGCGTATTCTCTTTCTGAGCACAACCATTTTATGTTGTAGGTGATGACTGTATTTCAATTGGAGCTGGTTGTTACAATGTTGATATAAGGAACATGACCTGTGGT